CCACATTCTGATTGTTTGTTTGTTTGTGGTAGATTCCATAGGAAGCTTTGAGAAATTTTATTTTAGTTGAATAAACAAAAGGACACAGTTAAGAATAATTGGTTGAAAATACTTCATAAAGTGCCAGCCTCTTTTTAGAAATGTTACAAAAGTAGGAAACTATGTGAGCTACAAAAATGAAATAGATATGTAACATTTAGTAGTTGGAAGGGCACTGTACTCTAAAATAGAAGCAGGTGAAGAGAGATTTCAATAAATAGCACTCTAGAATAAAATGACAGGCAGAACACATAATAAATGAATTGATTTTTCATTTCAAAGTTTTTAGTAAATTTGTAAGAGAAAGATTTCCTGAAACGGTTAAATAAATTTGTTTTTACTTGCAACAGGTCAAAAGGTTATTAAGGTATTTTACTTTAGGAAGTTTATTAATATGAACAAGGTCTTGGATTTTGCAATGCAAATTCTTATCATTTGTCTTCATATCAAATAAGGCAATCATTTGAATTTCTTTTTTTCTTTTTTTCCTATATAAAATATTTATATGGAACTCTATGGATATCTCATCTGCACATTTAACATTGTTTATATTCATTTAGCTAAGAAACTTGGTTGTGTGGGAGGATTCTTTTGTCTTTAATATGCAACTGCATTTGGCTGTTATTGTTAATGTACTGAATCCAGTATTTACTTATTTTTTGTGTGTTACAGTGTTTAAGCTGGGTATATAAAAGCTATCAAATATAAGATCCTAATTCCTTCAACTTTAGCTTTTTTTTTATCCTTCGCAGCATTTATTAGTATTTTAAAAATTCTTGTTTCTAGTCTCACTTTCATTCTCATTCATTGCCAGTTTTTGTCCTCTTATTCAACCTTATTCAACAAAGTTTCAATCTTTGTCTTCTTCCTCTTCAAGTTTATCCATGATGGAATCTGAGAGTGATGTAATAACTCTGTCCCTGGAAGAATTGTTGTAAGGAATATTGTGAAAAACAAGTTGTCCCTGTAATGACCTAGTTGTTTTTCTCTTTTCTGTTTCTGTTCAAAGAGGACAAAGAGGTACTTTCTTGGGTTGAGTAACTCAGTTTAAGGAGTTATTTATTTATTTATTAGACAAATGAAGTTTTCCTCCTTTTTCCTTGCATCTTGGTATGGATAATTTTTAAATTTTATCTGTTAAAAATTACTCTAATCTGTGGCTGGGGAAGATGCCAGCACAGTTATGCCAGATCAGTGTTTTTACAGTTCATGTTCCATTACAACGGTAGTTCTTTTTTTTAAAGTAGTTTCTTCACATCTTTCTAGTTGGTTTCCCAAGTTGAATGTATTATTTGTATTTTGTTCCTTTGTATTGCTTCTGGTAACCTGTAGCCGATAGCATGTTTTATGATGTAAACATTATTAGTACAAGGCTTATTGTCTCTGTGCAATACTGTTCAAACAATGAACTCTTTCAAGAGCTATTTACTGATTGTATAGATTCAGCATTTTAGTGAATTGCATTGAAAATTGGGCTTCTTGGTGACCCATGTCACTTGGAAAGGATATAATGTGAAAGAGAGGCTTTCTAAATAAAATCATTAGGTACTTTCTCAGGTGTAGGATTTCAGCTTGTAACATAACGGACTGAAGTTCCTTTGCATTTTTTACTATGATCATCAGAGTATTATACTACACTGTTATAACAGAGAAAATAACTATTCCCTAAATAACTATTTCTCTACATTTAAAATATAACCATAGGAATGATGAAATTTTCTTTTCTCTCTATTTAGCACAGTGGTATGAATTAGAACAAACGTTCTCTGCCATGAGTAACATTTACCAGAAGCCACTAAAATCCTCATACACCTATGCAAAAACCTAATGGAAAATACATGTTGGCTGCAGTGTTACAGAAGTACAAGCGATTATTTGTTCTCTGATTTGGATACTCAGTTGGAAATATATTAAATAAGCTCCATCTCCTGCAAATCTGGACTTCTGACAAATTTTAAAGTGGAATATTCATACTTCACATTGCTAATGACTTATGAAAATTGAAGGCTATATTCACTGCAATCTGACATATCTGACAATGTGCCTTTCCTTTTTATCTAAGCACACAGGGTTCAGTTTATGGATATCAAGTTAGAATGTTCATGGAGAAATTAATTACTATTGTTTAAAAAGAGGGATTTGCCTAAAAACAAGATCTATCCAACTGGTTCTTTACAGAAATCCTGCTGGAAAGCAGCTGATATAAAATCTTGAAATACTAGGAAAAATAATTCAGATCCCATTTTATGCACATTGGGTGAAAGCCAGCACTAAAGGCAGTGGATTTATTTTTCCAGAGCTGGATTTGACCCAGATGTCTGTCCTGTTTACACATGTGAAAGCCTATTAAACTTATTGGGATTGCAATTATATAAATGGAGGCCAAAATATTGTTATTTTTGGGGAACTTAACTTGAACTTAATGTAAAAATTGGCTATTGTATTAATATGGGGATATATCCTGTTCATCCTACGTCTATATTAGTACATCTGGGCAGGAAATCTCATAACTGATGTAACTCTTCTTTAATAAAGTCCTAAATTTGAAACTTTATGGATTCGTGTACAGTGTGTAATGATTGGGTTAGAATTACAGATGCTCCAGTTATAAAATATTCTTCTCTTACCGTGTATAAGACATATGAAAAATTTAGGGATAAAAGGATAATGAAAAGGAATCATGTTAGCAACACCTTTCATTTTATTTTGTTTGAGAAAATGGTACTGAAAGAATGACAATCATGTGGAATTAGTTTATGTCCATTAAGAAAGGTGAGGATTAGAGTTTAGGCAAGATTCTGGAAGTGCCAGTTAGTGTGAAAACATTAGACCTTGGTTCTGCTTGTTTATTTGATCTGCTGGATTATTGGTCAAAGAATAAATCAAGTTCTTGACATACTGTTTTTGAAATGATAAAGGAAATTGAATAATCAACACATATAAAAAAGCAAAATGAACACAGAATCACAGAATTTTGGGGGGTTGGAAAGGATCTCTGAATATAATTTACTCCAACTCCCTGTTAAGCAGATTCCCTAAGGTAGGTTACACAGGAGAGTGTCCAGATAGGTTTTGAATATTACCAGAGTTGGGAACCCCGCAACGTGTCTGAATAACATGTTCCATTGCTCTGTAACTCTCAAAGTGAACTTTAACCACTTTTATGTAATAATATGTAATAGTAAAATAAATCAAATTTTCTTTCTCCAGTGTACGCTCTTTTGTGAACTTTCACTAAAGATAAAATTAGAATATACTACAACAGTTTGCACAGAATCTGCCAGAAATCTATTTTAGCTGAGTGTGTTAGACTTAAGACCTACTTGATAATAAATACATTTTGAAGCTTGCTTCTTCGAAACAAGAGCAGGCAGGCTATAAAATATGAATATAATCCACAAATATATTTTTCCTACATTTATGATTGCAAACTCAAGAAAGATGACAGGTATCTGTGACAGAATTTCTTTTGTTGGGCAGTGTTTCTCTTCCGTAATATTTTCAATGTAAGTGAAAAAAAGCCTTCCATGACTTTTTTAAAGTAATCCCTGCTTCTTTCCTGGAGCTGGAACTGGCATGGTATAAATTATATGGCACAAGTCTCTTTAAAGACATATAAAGCAGGCAAGACTGATGACCTCTGTTGACTTGCTAGTGGGAACATCTGCTCTCCCATCAGGGTTCCTCACTGCCTGTCCCTGCACAGACCAGTAAAGACTTTTCAAAGGAAAGAGAGCTGGGAAAAAGAATAATATCCCTGAAATGAAGACATTTCAGACTGAGTAGTGGTAATAATGATAGATATCAAGATTAAGGAGATGAAACTCATTTTAAATAAGTTTAGTTTCACTAGTATAGAAAATACCTCACCTACTTTTGATATGAAAATCAATTTTTCCTTTCATATTTTCCCCTCTTAAGAAATTTCCTTCAGGGCAAGTAAATACTTAGTCTTCAGGAAAGCTCAATCATTGTTGACTATTATGAACATTCATATTCATGTACTGATTGAGGAAAAGTTCAAGATTATTTCCTGATAGAATGTTACAGTGCCTTGTGGTCATCTTGCATTGGTTTCATTACAGAAACTGATGTGCAGCACAGAAGTTCTGTTAGAAGTAGATTATATGAACTGTGCTAGAGGAAGTTTCAGTTTTCCCTTATCTCTTCTGCTAAAAAATTGCCTTCCACTGCAAAATACTCAGTGAAAAATATTTGTTTCATGTGGTAGGTTTTTTGAACAGTGAGAGATTTGAACACATTTGAAAATGCTTTCTTGAGTCAGAGCAACTTCCATATCTTAAAGGAGCATGCTGAGTATTTTATTATAATTCATGTTTATATGAAGTAAAATTTTCACAAAAATCTTGGAAGATGGAAAATTCTGGCATTTTTCTGGTTAAACTATCTCTGTAGATTGATATTTACTCTGTAGTTATACTATAAGAATATTTTCCTCTGGTAAGATAAATCTACTAGTAGTGTTGAAATGTTTGTAGTTTGTGAAAAGAAAAATTACATTTGTGTCTTAGTTTCAGCTGGAATTGAATTATTTGTTCTTCATTGTGTCTGGTATGGTGCTATGTTTTGGTTTTAGGAGAAAAACAACGTTGATAACATACCAAAGTTTTTAGTTGCTATTGAGCAGTGCTGTACAGAGCCAAGGCACTCCAGTTTCTCAGCTCCAATCAGCAAAGAGCTGGTGGGGCACCAAAGGAGCAGGGAAGGGACAGAATCAGGACAGCAGACTGACCAACTGAACACAACTAGCCAGAGGAATATCCCATACCACATAACATCATGAGGAAGGAGAGTTTTTTGAAGGTGTAGCAGTTCATCTTTCTCTCTCCTTCACTGCTTGGGGGGGCTATATGGGTATTGGTCAGTGAGTGATGAGCAACAGCTTATGCATCACATGTTATATATTTATATATATAACTATATAGTTAAAAAAAAAAAAAAAAATTGCCTGGCAGGGGAGACGGCATGATTAGGCAGGTGGTTTTCACAGCAGGAAGTTCATCTTCTGCACTCCAGGTGTGCTGATCACTGAAATTTTCTCCCAAATGAAGGAAACTTGCTGTGTAATTTGTGGTAGTGGGGGACTGTGTTCACACTCTCCCTGGCCTTTATTGTCCTAACTATTATCCTTTTTGTTTTCTCTATCGTAGTAAATAGTTTTATCTTAACCCATGAGTTATACTTTCTTCTTTTCTGGTTCTGTCCCCTGTCCCACTTGAAAGGGGAGGAGTGAGTGAATAACTGTGTGGTGCTAAGCTACCTGCTGGATTAAGTCAAAACAGTCTGGTAATAACAATTATTTGTTCTTGCTAAATAATTATGTCTGGCTTTGAGTCATTATCGTGCATATAGTTTAAAAAAAAAAAAAGTTTTTTATTGATCTTATTAAGAAGACCCTTTATCAGGTATTTATATGAAAGACTTCATGCTCCAATCTCTGTGTAATAACAGGAGCAACAACCACAAGTGTAGCTTAGTAAAATAAAGCATTGCTTAGATGTTCTGAAATCCTAAATAATGAATTCAGACTGCCTTCTAGTTTGAAAAATCAACTATTAAATTGGATTTAAGCTTTTACTTTCATTAGACAAGTCCCTGCACTCTCATATTCACATCAGTGTAATGTTTCTTCTGGATGCCAAATCTTTATGCTGGCAGGTGTTGATTGCAGTGTTGGCATCTATTAAACATAGAAGATATTTTAGAACATCTTAAATATATTTGAATAATTAAAGGTTGAACACATGACTCATTGCAGAGGATAGCAAGAATTACTCTGAATTCTGTGTGCATTTGACCATATCTTTTGTGCTGCTGTATGAAAATGAACCTGGTTACCACCAAGATTTTTCAATATGAAGCAAGGTATTAAAAGTTCTCAATCATTTAATCATATAATCTGAGTATTTTCTGTTGTGTTCCTTAACCTATTGGTTTTTTTCTATATCTGTCATAATTTTTGTTTTTATACATTGATTTGTAGCCCAAAGACAGACAAGATCAAAAACATCCAAATGAGTGGTTTTGTGTTCCATATTTTTAACCATTTTTAATGTTCTGCAGATATTTCCTTTTTTTGTTGTTGCTGTTATTTCACTTAAATTCATTTTTCGGGCCACTGTTGACCCTCAATTAAGATATCAGATATGGATTGTTTCATCTTAGACACTCACTCAAAGTTTAAAATGACTCATCTGACTTTTTTTCCCTCATTTCAAAATTAGAATCTGTAGAAGTGGATATTTCATACATATATTTTTATTCTCCGGTATATTTCTTTTGCTCATAGGTATAAAATCCAATTCTGGAGGCCTCTTCTGTGAAATCTCAGTTTGTGACAGAAAATAAATTGCTTGTATGTCTTACTTTAGAAAAAGTAAAGAATACGTTTCTCCTTGTTCTTATTTATGAAACAAATTCTGCTCTTAGAATCTTTTCACTGAAAGTTCTTGCAATTGCATGATGTGCCACAATCACTGCATCACCAGGAAGCCTACTATTAGAGAGAACCTATCTTTCACTATGATTTCAGTTTAAGTGCAATTTCAACACTGCTCTAGAGTTGGAAAACAAATTGAGCAAAGAATGAATGTGGTTTAAGCCTGAAAAAGTTTCTTTAGATACATGCATAAATTGAAGTTATCACATCTAAAAATCTGCATATCTGAAAACAATCTGAACAAATTACCAAGTCAACTGGTTATTTCCCTCTGAGATTTATGTTTATATACCCACATGTATATGTAAACAATCACATTCTTAAAGCTATACGTAGCTATATTTAGTTGGATGACACAGAGGTACAAGTTCAGCTTCTTTTTTTCAAAGCACTCATTTGAAGGCATTGTATTTATAGAACCTGCTATTTCCTTTAGCAGATACAAATCATACTGGGCAAACTTTAACATATTACTTCAAATAGAGCAGTATTTCAGTAATACCTTTTATGAGTTCTGGATGTGATTGCAGTGGAAAAATATAAGAAACAGAACAGAGCAGAATGGCCTGATCTTTCTTGAAGCTCCTGGTTGATTCATTTCCTTAGCTTGAGGACAGAAGGAGGTGACTCCTTTCTAAGAACCTTCCTCATATTTGCAGACGTATTTGGAAAAAAAATTATCTCCTGACTTGGGGGAGGTTTGTCTGACTGCATTTCTTGACTTACCAGCTGGGAATTATTGATTCCTATGTGCAAAACTTGCCGTAATGATAATGCTAACATCTCTCTGCCTCTGGTAACAAACCACAATTTCAAGTATTTGGCTGTAAAACGATAGAAGGTATTTAGATTGCTTACCTACTTTCTAGCATGAACGTAAGACAAATTCAGCCTGTTTATTTCATAGAGAAGCCGTAAATACAACTTCTCTATTGATTTGATGCTGACAGCCAAAGAATAATACATAAATTGATTTGATATTGTACTTTTTGTATATTTTTGTATGTTTGAAAGCCACAGGGAAGGCACTTACAGATATTTAGATCAGAAATTAATTACTTCTACTATTATTAAAATCCGAAGTCACAGAATTGTTGAATGTACTGTGACTGATTGTTCATAGAAACAGGTTACCCAGGGAGGTTGTGGAATCTCCATCACTGGAGACATTAAAATCCTGACAGGACATGGGCCTGAGCAACCTGCTATAGCTGACCCTGCTCTCCAGAGGTCCTTCTCACCTCAATTCTTTTGTGTTTCTATTACTCTTCTTCTTTTTTTTTAGCCTGTTTGTTTTCATAATGTCAAGATAAATGTTTTACGAAGTAGATCTTTTTCTGCATAGAGAAAAAGAACAAAGTTTATATGAAATAAATAACTTCTGTGAAGTAATAAGCCAATTAACAGATATTTCTATTACTATCCTTCATATTAGTAAAAGTAAGCAATTCTTCAGTCTTTTAAACTTATAAGCTAGTTTTCACTTACTCATTTATTGTATATTATGCAATTAAAAGATCATTCTTTTTTCCCCGTTATTAAACAGGCATAACTAGAAGTATTCTATCCATATTTCTAGCTTTTAGCAAAAGTTGAACTCAAAAATTGAGATATTTCTGTTATATGCTAACAATGAAGTCTTCTCCTAAAAAAAGAAGCTGTTGAAGATGATAGATTTTATGGGCAACAAAAGCCTATACTTATTTCTGCAAGATATCTCCAAAGTCCTTCTTGCTTCATAAATAAGTTTTTTTGGACTTCATACAATATGAAATAATAAAAGAGTATCGTAAGCAGTTATAGCAGTTCTAACATGCAGTCTGTCTGGAAAAAATATATTATTGGTAGAAGGCATTTCATTTATAAAGGTAAAAATGCCTCTATGGTTACTAAATTAAGGAGAGAAAATTCTAAGTGAAGTTAATTTGCAAAATCATATTTGAAGAAAGAAATGCCGCAATATAAATTGACATTACATGAATTAATAAGTACAGATGTATAAAACTATTAAATACAATATAGTTGGCTGACAATTTAAATAGTTTGTCAGGTTGCAGAAGATACAAGAAGGGCATTAAATCTTACTGAAGAACTGTCTCTAATAAGACAGTGAGATTACTGAGATAGCTAAATGGAGAGGAGATGTGGTTTGCTGCTACTGAATTGGCTGCTAGGAGAATCCTGCTGAGGGGATCTGTGCTTCCAAATTTGATATGCGTTACTTGTGTAATTTGGGACAAATCACTTCACCTGGTGGGGAACTGCCCCTTTTCGCCCTTGTTCGCACTTCTTTATTTCTAGGTAGTTCTTATGTGTAATGTAAGAGAACAAAGCCTGTTAAAAGAAAAAAAAAAAAAAAAAGAGAGAGAGAAACTTATGAATTCAAAAGCTATTATTCAAATTTCACTGTGCACATTTCCTTCAAAAGCAAGCGTCTTCACAAAACATTAGAAATGACAGTAGAAACAATGTTCTTCTGCAGATATGCCATTAAGTATACAAACAGATGGGAACAGGGAAAGAATGGAAAGAAAGCAAAACAGTTACAGCTACTTGTGCTTTGCTTTTGACCTATTTTTAATGTGAAAAAGAATGTTATCAGATAAATATTTCTGTTTTTAAACAGCAACCACTCTATCACATACGCAACTATGTTATTTTTGCCATACTTGCGAAATCTCTTCAGTCTCAGCTTATATTATACACAGGTGATCTTCATTAGCATCATAATTTCAATCACATGTATTTTTGAATGGCTGTGCACTCATGCTTAATAAGCTAGTTGGAACTTCTGGAAATAAAGATATTAAAGACATTTAACAGTTCATTTTTCTTTTTTTGGCCTCAAAAAAATTTCTGTAGCATTTCTGTGTACACCAATAGGTCTTTAACTGTCTGTTTGTTTTTACAAGTCACATCAATAAGTTTTTGCACAGATTTGGTGAGTGCAGAAGCAGCCTCCTCCCACCAGATGTTTTTGGAAAGTGATAAAACACTTTTAGTCACTCTGGGAGACAGTACTACTGGTTGTTGCTGTAAAAAGCAGTAGATGTGAAATGTTTCCAACTGAATGCAACTGAATGTAATTTTACATATGAGTCATTATACTTCTTCCTAAATAAAATCATCAGAAAAGGAAAACAATATTGCTTGGAGGATAATTTGAAGGAGAATGAAGGGGCACATAAGGTTGCAGAAGAGATTCTTACATTGCCAATGTAGCTGCTGGCTGAAGCAGACGAAATGGTTTTCTGACTTGCTATTCTGAGGGGCCCAGAAGCAGAGAAGTCTAAGCATGCTGTACTGCCCTGTAGCTAGAAACAAAAAAAAAATGGACAATAGGATCATCACGTCACATGAAATTTCATTCAAAGAAGCATGTTTCCTTTGATTTCAGATTAGTGCCCTTCTGGTCAGATTTCTTGAACATGAGTACAAAATGACTACAAGGCATAGGAGAGTTTGGCTATTCTTGTGCATCTAGTATCATATTTCAGAAAAATAGCAAAACTAACAGCACCACTTCATAATGATGACTTGCAGGCAGTTTATTTCAAAAACTGATTGTTCTGAGTAACATTTGCACAAGCATTTCAGAGCCCAGTGTCTCACTGAACATGTAGGCCCTACTCTGGTCCCCAACAGTTAGACAGACTCCTGGAACAC